GAAAAGAAGCTTTTTCTCCTTTTCGAAAAATCGTCGTCGTCTTAAGTTCGCGCCGTCATTACTATAAGGGTTGTCTTGGAAGAAAAGTGATGCAAGACATAAAAACCCTTATTTATCGCGAGAGACAAGGATCGTAAATAATTCTAGTCAAAAGCCATTGGATTTTTTCCCCAATTTTTGGAATTAAAAAATTCTTTTTTTTTTAAACAAAGTTACCGCCAACTACCTTTTTTTGGTACCGTTGATGGGGTCTTCTGTTCTCGTTACCAAACAACAGGATATTGACAAGGTGGTCCTTCTGGAATTTACAAAAATAGTGTTTACCAAAAAAAAAAAAAAAAAATTATTTGGAAATTTTGCCAAAATTTGAACAAGTGGTTGTTGAAGAAATTGTATTTTTATTTTATTTGTTTAGACTTATGCTCTACCCCTTCTTTTGTCCAGTCACAACCCCCCTCCAACCCGCAGGACTGACATGCCCTGTACGTCATCCAGCTGGCCTTCTTCTCTCTCTCTCGCAGGATCAAGCCGGCACTGTTCATTCGATTCCTATCAAAGTCCGGATATCAAGTGCCTAAAATTCTCCCGCCCCCCTCCTGAAATTTCACAAACAAAAATTTTTCCCCCTTTTGTTAAAATGTTCTCCCCCTTTAAAATTGTTAAAAATATTTTACCTTGTATTTTACCTAAAAATCAAAAAGTGGAAAATACTTTTTCCCTTGGACTTTTTGGAGGAGAGAAATTAATTTTTAGTAAAAAAGGTACAAATCCCATACCTGTTAGTTTGAAACGAAAAATTAGACTTCTGTCAAAAAGACAAGTTTTAAAAAATACCCTGAGATTGAAAATTAAGCCAAAAAAAAAAAAATCATCAAAACCGCCTGTTGTCATTTTTGAATTTTCAATAATTGACAACAGGCGGTTTTTGGGAACAAGTTCTATTCAAGTTTATGTCTTCTATTAATAGTTCCAAGTTATACTTGGAAAGTGTACAACAGAACTGACCATCTGAAGGTCAAGTCTATAGCACCCCTAGACTTACTGGACTATTAAGCTCCGTTGACTCTTCACAAGAATTCACTCTTGAATGATCATTCTCGAATCTACAGAGGAAAATTTATTTTTTATTTCGTTCCATGGTTTTTCTATTTTGGTTCTTGAGAATTTTTCTTCAATACCTTTTTGGTTCCTTCACTTCTTAGTACTCTCATCTTCTTTAATTCTTATTCTTATTCCTATTCGTAATTTTTCGTTTGGTCCTAAGTTTTTTCTAGTTCTTACCACCTTTGCCCAATTTTTTTTCTACTAAGTTCTTCTTTATTTCTTATTTTCAATTTTGTTCTCTAATTTTTTATTTAGTTCCAAGTTTATATTTCTTCCAAGTTGTGATTTATTTCCAAGTTTCTATTTATTACAAGTTGTGATTTATTTCCAAGTTCATATTTTTTCCAAGTTGTGATTTATTTCCAAGTTCATATTTTTTTCAAGTTGTGATTTATTTCCAAGTTTATATTTTTAAAGTTGTGATTTACTTCAAAGTTTACATTTTTTTTCTAAGTTGGTATTTATTTACAAATATCTCTTCTTTTCCAAGTTGTCATTTCCAATTTTCTACTTTTCCCCAAGTTGTCATTTCCAAATTTCTACTTTTCTTCAAATTGTCATTTACAAATTTCTATTTTTCTCTAAGTTGTCATTTTCTTACAAGTTTTTTTTCAAAATTGAAATTTTTTTCCAAGTTCTACTTTTGAATTTTCTTATTTATTTTTGTGTTTCAATTTACTTCTGAGTTCTTATTTCTAAATTTTTATTTGTTTCTAAATTATTATTTATTTCTAAGTTCTTATTTACTTCCCAGTTATTTTTTTCTAAGTTCTTGTTTCTTTCTGACTTTATATCTTCCTCTGAGTTCTTATTTTTTTCAAAGTTCACTCTTATTTCTACGTTCTTATTTATTTCTAAGTGCATATTTACTTCCGAGTTCTTATTTTTTTCCAAGTTCGTGTTTCTTTCTGAGTTCATATCTAACTCTGAGTTCTTATTTTTTTTTAAAGTTCACTCTTATTTATGAGTTCTTATTTTTTTCCAAGTTCACTCTTATTTTCGAGTTCTTATTTTTTTCTAAGTTCACTCTTATTTCTGAGGTCTTATTTATTTCTAAGTTTTTATTTAATTCCGAGTTTTTATTTTTTTCCAAGTTCGTGTTTCTTTCTGAGTTCATGTCTAACTTTGAGTTCTTATTTTTTTCCAAAGTTCACTCATATTTCTCAGTTCTTATTTATTTCTAACTTCTAAGTTCAATCTTATTTCTAATTTTTTATTTATTTCCAAGTTTAGAATTACTTCTAAGTTCTCATTTATTTTTAATTTATTCTCGAGATCTTGTTTATTTCTGAGTTCTTATTTATTTTCTATTTCTTCTTCATCTCTGAGTTCCTACTTGTTTCAAAATTATTTTTTCTTTACTTCTTAATTTTCTAGCTTCTTTCCATTTTCCACTTCTTGGTTATTTTTTACTTCGTTTTATTTTTGAATTAGTTATTTCCTTGTTTTTATTTCAGAATTCGTAACTATTTTTCAGTTTTTTTTCAGTTCTGCTTTATTTCTCAGGTCCAATTTAATTCTGATTTCTTATTTACTTGTCAATGTTTATTGATAACTTGTTTCATACTTGGTTTCAAGTTCTTACTCTCTTAGTTCTTCTTTATTTCTTATTTATTTTTTCTTAATTTTTTTTATTTCTTCTTTACTTTTCCTTTTTTCCCTTTATTTCTCCTTTACTTCTATTTTATTTTCTCTTTATTTTTTCTTATTTCTTCACTTCTTCCCTAGTTCTCAGTCTTTAGTCCCTATTTTTTATTCGAAATACTTTGAAATTGAAATAAATTCTCGAAAAAAATTTGAAACTAAGAAAAAAAGTGTAGTAACTACAAAAGTGTCACCACTCACTCTACAACACTTGTCATATTCCAAAAAAAATCCCACTTCACCCTTTTTTTGACATAAGTCTAAAAAAATCTTTCCCTTTTTCTAATACTTCTACTCATTTTTTTCCAATACTCATACTATAATTTTTTTCATAACACAAATGAAAAATCTGATTCGTGATTAAAATTTAGTGAACATTGTGATTTTAAATTAACATCGAGAGAATTTTGTGTGACGTTTATAAAAAAAAAATGCCTCTCTTACATACGCGTAGTTGATTTCTGAATGTAATAATGACACCATAAGGGAGTTAAAGTATTACTTTAATTTTACAACGGAGTACACGATACTCGTGTGTTCCCTTTTGAATGCGTATTTTTCTCATTGTCTTTTTCCTATTTCCTCCCTCGTGACGTGCATCGAAAGCTCCCGGCGCGTTGCGACGGTACGAGACGTTTGTCGTTTAACCGGCTAAATTACCAAACATAAAAACAACATTGATGACGTGAACAAAAAAAAAGGAGAAGAAAAAAAAATGTGTGCAAATACAAAGAAAAGAATAATATAATACCCAAGTGAAGTGGAATTAATATTTAAAAATTGAAATATCGAGAAACTGGAAACTTTTTCTATAGAGTCAATTTTACCGCAGTGACAAGTGTTTTATAAAGTGAAAAAGATATTTTAATTGCATTCGCGTCAAACTAGAATTCAATTTGAGAAAAATTTTTTTCATTTAAGTTTTTGAATAAATGAAAATTAATTTAATTAATTTGAATTTTTTTTAAACTCGGAATATTAAATACTACTTTTATGTTTGTGACTTCATTTCGTTTTTGTGTTTAACTCTTGTTCAACTTTCGTAATTTTTAAGGATGTCAACTTGAGACAAAAGGCAATTGATTTTTTTTTTTTTTTTGAGACAAAAAACGTATCAATTGCCTTTAGTCTCAAAAGTTGATATCCTGAAAAACTACTTTTTTCGCTTCTATTTTTCATTTAGTTCCTTTTTTGTCTTTCATTTATTATTCACTTTCTTTTTTGACTTCTATTTATTATTTACTTTCTGCTTATTTTTTATTTAACTGAACGAACGGTTTTAATTATTAATTTTTCTTTCTCATAAACGAAGAATTATATTTTTTTATTATTCTTTCAATTTTTGTTATTTAATTGAAAATTTATCAAATGCCAATAAAATAAACGACATTTATGGTTTTAATCATTAATTCTATAAAGTCATTAAAAATCTAACACTTCTTAGCGGGATAATCGACATATTATACAGAAAAGTGAAAACGTCCTTGGCAGAAATTCAATTGAATTCGTAGTTTGAGAAAAGTTTCAGATAAAGAAAATGACGTGCTTGCGAGACAACTTTTTCGCGAGTTTAAATAATTTCTTTGTCGGAAATCGTGAATTTAAAAAAAACCATCACTATTCCGTTTTTCTAAGAATAAAATATTTTCCCCCTCACAAGAAAGAAGAGTGAAACTAGGCCGTACCAGTGAATTGGAATCCATTTGAGACCATTATTGTTTTATTAGTTGACCCTAGAAAATCTATATTTTTCCTCATTGTGAACTTTTGGAAAATTAATCTAAAAATTTTAAAACTTCTACCTGTACTTTTATACTAAAAGAGCAAAAAAATACTAAAATGCAAATTTATATGGAAATAAATAAAATGTGAAAAATTAAATAATCGAAAGTGCAAGATTTCAAAGTTAATAGAATTTTCAACTTTTTCGAAATATCTTCAAGTGGGAAAGTGTTTTTTATGAGAACAATTTTTGGTCCAGTGAAAAAGAGAAAGAAATGGTTTTGTGCAATAAGATGGAAAATGTGCACGTTTTGCAAAAGGAATATTTTGTATCTCAGTTTAGAGTGTCTCCTGCTTGAAGAGAATTCGAAAAGTGTTGACTATTAAATTTTGTTAACCAACATTTTTGATTCGTTTTTGAAAAATAAAAAAACAGATTGTTCGAAACGATTAGAAAATTAGATTAGAAAACAAAATGTGAATGAGGGAAAAAGAGATAATTTTGAACCGAGTTTATTTTGTGATTTCAGCTTGGAGCGGGAGACGCGTTGCAGCGAGAAATTCCCGCGCAGGAGAGGAAGACTGGACAAAGTGGAAGAAGCAGAATAAGACAAGAGAGGAAAAATAGGAGAGTAGGAAAGCGGAAGAAGATCGGTTAGAAGCGGGTTTAAAAGTGAAATGAAATCTGGATAATAATACTCATCAGAGGAGAAGGAGTAGAAGACGAAGAAGAAGAGATTGTGAAAGGAAAAGAAGAAAAGTAAGTGGATGAGCAAGAACACGAGAAGAAAGCGGAAGACCAAGAAGAAGAAGAAGGAAAACACCGAGGGAAAACGGTTGGAGAACCCGCGCCGCATACATTTATATTTCAGTGTGTTCAAAAAACGAGTGTACCTAAGTGCAATATTAATTAAACCTACTCTAAACGATAATAAGCAACTACTACTATTTACCATCGGCGATCAGTTACGACGCGGTAATCGATAAATCTTTTCAAGATTAATACTAGAGTCGCATTTTTTTTTTCGAGAACAAGTCATACGGACATAATAAGGACAAAGAAGGAAGATTCAGAAGAATTGAAGAAAATCTAAATAGGGAGTGCTCTCGTCCTGAATAAATATTACCAAGATCTTTACCAAAAGCGAAATCCGCTTTGAAATCACACTTACAATTCACACAGTTACACAAACTAACCAAACGGGGCAAAACTCAGGGCAAAACAGGACGAGCAGTATCATCCAGTGTGAGATTTTTTCCGAAGAGAATCCTCCAACCGAGTCGTGTCCGTGAACTTTCGTCTCGTTCACACCGTCCGGGCTGGGCAATCCTGAATTTTAACCTGAACTTAAGTGTACGATAGACTAAGTAGATAGAAGAAGAAATAGGATATTTCTCTCGACGAGAAAACAAATTTTCGATCGCGCGCATTTAAATTTGAAGAAGAAGAATTAAAAAAACACTAACAGACAATACATTACACTAAGAATTGTACATAAACAGACACAACAAGAAGACGGATTCAAAGGGGGATAGAAGAGAAGATTATTATTTGAAAGTTTGATGAACCAAAGAGTCACGGTTTGGTGCGGCAGACAGCACGTGGCGCGAAACTGACGTCTAACGTGTCGTCGTAGGTCGACGAGAAATCTGTGGCATCACCTCGAGGCAAGTGACGGCGGCAAGCGCGGAAGTGTGCCCGTCGTCGAGCTGCTTACCGAAAGGCGTGCGAAAAATCGGGCAAGCTGCGCCGGAAGGGGGTAGCCCGGGCTTCGCGCGAAGGCCTCAAGATTTCGGACGCGACGGCGGCCCTAGACCTGCGCGCCCAATCGCAAGCCCAACCGGACTTTGGCCTGGAGCAATCACACCACCACCACCATCAACAGCAACAACAAAATCAACAGACGCACCAACAAAACCAAAATCCAGAGGCGCGGCCTCTTCACCTTCATCATCAGCATCATCAACATCATCTCCAACATCACCCGGTCAATCATCATCACTCTGGCGATTCGGGGGGTGGGATAGGTGTTCCCGGAGGAGGAGGCGGCGGTGGTGCTGGTGGTGGCGGTGGCGGAGGAAATCACCGCCCAGGGCCCGACGCCGACCCAAGGCCCACGAGAATCGACGACGAGGAGGACATCACCGAGCGGGACGACGAGGACGAAGACGAGGACCCCTGCACGTCCCCCGAGCCCGACCTCGATCCCGTACCCGAACCAATGGAGGTCCAAGCCTCAGCCGTGTCCGCTGCTGCGGCCAACCTCCACGCCCTTAGGCAGCACGTCTTCAAAATGTCCGACTACTGGCAACAACCCCAAAGAGGACCCCCTCAACACTCACCCGGACTGCAGCACAGTCCCCTACAGAATTCAACCCCCCAAACAAACATGCACAGTCCTCTCGGGCAACAACAACAGCAGCAGCAGCAAACCCAACAACAACCATCCCAACAACAACCCACCCAACAGACCCCAACTGCCTCCCAAGCTCAACAAACCACCAACTCCCTAACTCAAAATTCCACCTCCATGCAACCCACCCTTATGATGAATCAATCAGCCCAACATCAGTCTTCCCCATCACCCACCTCACCATCACCCCAAGCCGATCATCAAAACTCCATCAACACATGCATGGTACAAAGTCTACATAGTTTCGCTCAGGCCCAAGTCCAAGCGAAAGCACAACAAACAATGTCGCAAGCCTCAAGTCCCACACTCACCGTCCAGGCTGTGCAGGCTGCTCAAGCGATAAATCAAAATTTAGGCCAAGCACTGACACAGGCCCTACAGCAAAATATGCAGCAGAGTCTCGGTCAAACGCTGCAGCACAATCTTGCTCAAAGTCTCACGCCAAGTTTATCGCCACAACAGCAACAGCAATTATTAAATCAGCCGCAAAATTTAAGTCAAAGTCAAAATCTCCAACAAAATATGCAGAGTCAAGTGCAAAATTTATCTCAACAGCAGCAGCAGCAGCAACAACAACAACAGCAGCAGCAACAAGCGCAAAATTTAACTCAAACATTAAATCATCAATCATTACAGCAGCAGGCGCAAAATTTGAGTCAAACAATGCCGCAAAATTTACAGCAGCAAGTGCAAAATTTAAGTCAAAATATGCAACAGCAAGCGCTCAATATGGCTAATTCAATTAGTCAAAATGGTGGACTGAGTGGAATGAGCTTAACGGGGAATCAACAGAGTTCGCAGAATTCAATGCTGAGTCCTGGTGCTGGCAGTCAGGATTCACACGATGTCACACTATCCGAGAAGCTGATGAATGAACTACAGGTGAGTAATTACTGTGCATTAATTGTTGGTGTAAATCGTTATTTTTTATTGTACTTGACCACCCTGAAGCGAATGTTTCATTTCGAATAACCAATCACTTGTCTATCAAATAAATATTTAATTTTGTCAAATAATTTTCAATTTATTTTTACACGGAGAAAAGTATAAAGGAACTTTTACTGCTTTTATAGTAAAACATTTCCGCTTAAGCATTTCTGGTAAATTTTATTACTACTTTCGGAGTAAATACTATGTTCGAAGTAAATTTTACTACGTTCAAAGAAAATATTTGTGAAAATGGGTAAAATTTGCTTCGAACGTAGCAAAATTGACTCCAAAGTGGTAAAAGTTACCAAAGTTACCAAAACTGCTTAACCGGAAATGTTTTACTATCAAAGTACTCTTTAAATTTGAATTAGTAGAAATGTTTACTAATTTGAATTAGTGACTGACTTTTTCCTTTTCAATTTGAATTAGTAAATTTTGCTAATAAATTAGTAGAAATTACTATTTATTAGTAAAACTATTTGCTATTTACTAATTGAAAAACAAAAAGTTAGTCACTAATTAAAATTAATAAACATTTTTACTAATTTAAATTTAGAGAACAGTAAAAGTTACTTTATAATAGCACAGTTTTTCACATGTGTCAAATAATTTTCCCCTGAATCAAATAATTTTCATTTTAATAAAATGAATTTTCTTTCAATACTAAATACTATAATCAATTTGAAGCAAATTGCCCTTTAGTCAATAATTTCAGTGTAGCAGAAAATTGGAAACTGAATCAGTAATTTTGGTACTTTGATTTCAAACACTGCAGTAGAAAATACAAAGAAATTAACTCGAATAAAAATTATTTGATAGAAGTAAATAATTATTTCATAATATACAAGCACTGTTAACTTAAGAGTATCAAATCGCAACGAATTGTTACCGAAAATGTGGTTCAAATAAAAAAAATGGTCCAAATTTTCAGCATCAATTTGATCCAGTTTAGTATCAATTTGATATTTTCAAGAAAACTGTGATTGATGGTTTAATTAAATTGAATAAAGTGCATTATACAATGAGAAAGGATTTTAAGATTGACAATTGAATTGTTAATATAAAACTAAGAAATATTTTGTTGTCCTAACAGTTCAGATCTTCAGATCGGTTCTAAATTTATAAACGACAAAAAATTTTGTGCAACAAAAAAGGGAAATATTAACAATTCTTGTTTCTCTATGTATATATAAATAGACCTTTATTGATGGAAAATTTATCCCCTTTCGATGAGAAAATTGATTTCATTCTGCATGTAAGTTAGGTGTTAATATTTCATAATCATCCAATACGTAGATTTTATCCATTCACAAGATTTGAATAATTTCCATTTACTAAATAACATCAGAGATCATTGTCTTTATAATAGACCATAATTAGAAGGGATTTCTTTTATCCCCTTAGTTGAAATATACAATAATTGCAAAATTCGAAGAGTATTTATTATTATTACTATATTGCTGTTGAATATTATTCGGAAAGGTTCTAAATTTTTAGACATAAATTGTACAGAAAAATTTGAAATTCGAAAATTCATACTAAGATTTCAAGAAATGTACTCAAAAATTGAAAAATGAATATTTAAAAGTTTTAATTGCAAAATTCAAAAGTAATATTGATGTTGTCGAAAAAAATACAAAATTTGTAAATGAAAACGAAAAATCGACAAAATTTCTTTTCCATAATGCAAAATTGATTAAAATTACACTGAAAAATCAAAAAAAAAAAATTGCGACTAAATATATGATAAAATGAGAAATTAAAATTGACAAATTTTTCTACTTTCAAAGTGCAAAATTAGTTAAAAATTGTTTAAAAAATCAAAAAATTTTATTCCTTTTAAAAAAATGGTATCAATTTTTCACCCATTTATCAAAATTTGGTCAAAAATTTTGACACAATTCACACGCTCGTTTGCAAAAATAAAAATCTAACTCAAAATCTCTCGGCAAAATTGCAGTAAAAATTATCTAAAACAAAAAAGTAAAAAATACGCACAAAGTACATGAAAGAATATTTAAATTTACAATCTCGTATGCAAAAGAAATCGAATTCAAAAATTCGAAAAAATTTTTACTCGAAAAAATTGCAGTAAAAATTATATTAAAAAGCAGTAAAAAATATATAAAGCTACACGAAAGAATAGAAATTTAAAGACTTGTATAAAAATAAAAATCGAACTAAAAAATCATCAGTAAAAATTACAGACAAAAAACAGTAAAAAAAATGCATAAAATACACGAAAGAGTAGTAGAAATTTACCCGCTGGTATAAAAATAAAAATCTAACTAAAAAAACCTCGAAAAAATTGCAGTAAAAATTATATAAAAATACAGTAGAAAAATAGATAAAGTTACACGAAAAAATAGAAATTTACACGCTTGCATAAAAATAAAAATCGAGCTCAAAATCTCCCTGAAAAAATTGCAGTAAAAATGTTATAAAAAAAAATAGTAAAAAATAAATAAAGTTATACAAACGAATAGAAATTTACAGACTTGTATAAAAATAATTATCGAACTAAAAAAACCCCGAAAAAATCAGAAGTAAAAATTACATCCAAAAACCAGAAAAAAATACAGAAACTAGAGAGAATACAAAATTTCGACTTAGAAATCGAAAAAAAAATAGAAAAAGAAAAGAAAAGAGGAGAAAAGAATTCGCAAAAAAATAGAGGAATGAAATTGGACGGAGGAGAATTTTGTCAATTGTTCCAAACCGCGACTGTACTGAGATACGCTGACCACGGTTCATGCACACTCCAGTACGTTGACTTACTGCATCGCACAGACACACATTCAGAAAATTCTCTCTACGTATGCGTGACACCAAATACGAATACTCGGCGCACGCACACATACCATTGGGGATGCAGATACTACGTCTCCCGGGGTTCTTGACCTGCACAACACAGATAATACCATACGCATACGTCATACTGCACAGAGCCGAGAAGATGTTACCGAGAAAATATTGAACCGACACCGTTTCTTTTTTACATTATATACAAGATGGTCACACGCATGTCCTATACATTTATATCCATCACCGGGACTTTATTTTCAATTACTTCTTTTTTTCTTCTTTTTTCTTCTTTTTTCTTCTTATTCTTATTTCCATCTATTCGAAAACCGCGAATAATTATCGGGGGCTCAATATTTTTCTTTTCATTCGCAGCATCCGCATTCGATTTTTCATTTTTTTCTCACAGAACCGATAACAAATAGAATCAGTATATAATTGTATTGTATAAACTTATAATAATAATACAGTAATAGTATAGTAGGAAAAAAATAATATAAAACAGTGTAGTAATCGTATAATAATAGTATAACAATAGTACAACAATAGTATAACAATAGTATAACAATAGCTCACCGATACTATAACAAATACCAATACTATAATAATACTATAAAAATAATACGATAATATTACGAAGAAGTAATTATTTTTAATTTCATCAAAAGTAAGAAGAAAAAAAATTGTTTTTGTAATTATAGGTTGTTTTCTTTGCGGTCTCTTTATTCTCCACTTAACAATTGGAATACTAAATTATTGATGTGTGAGCACGTTTTTAACGGTCATGGTCGGACATTGCAATATCTATTAATATTGTAATTTTAATTTATTTCCTCTAAATTTGAATTAGTCAAAAATAACTAATTTTATAGTAAAAAATCAGTCACTGATTCAAAAAGTCATTAATTACTAATGAAATAGTTAATATTAACTAATTATTAGTTAAATTTACTTTTACCTTAGGTCAAAATAACTGAAATTTTTGTTAACTAATTCAGTCAGTGAAATTTGACTATTTTTATAGTTATTTATGAACTAATAATTAGTAATTTCTAATTATTAGTATTAATTACTAATTAAATAATTAGAAATTGAATATTAGTATTAAATACTTATAATTAGTAATTAGAAATTAATTAACTAATTAAATATTAGTTTTAATTACTAATAATTAGTAATTAGTAATTATTAGTATTTATTACTTTGCTAATTATTAATTTGTTAGTTATTATTTATCAGTAGTTATTACTCTACTAGTTACTAATTTCTGTATCAAAAAATCAGCAACAAATTTACTACTAATAATTAGTTATTTTTATTTTAAATAATTCAGATTTAGAGAGAATAATTTTTTTTTCATAGGTTTTTGTTAATTGTTAGAGAAAAATAGATCAATTTTTTGCAATTAAATAATTAACTAATTAAATATTAGTATTAATTACTGATAATTAGTAATTACTAATTATTAGTATTTATTACTTTACTAATTATTAATTTATTAATTTATATTTATTAGTAGTTATTACTCTACTAGTTACTCGACTAGTTACTAATTTGTGTATCATAAAATCAGCAACGAAATTACTAATAATAATTATAGTTATTTTTAACTAATTTAGATTTAGAGAGAATAATTTTTTTCTATAAGTTCTTGGTAATTGTTAGAGAAAAGTAAATCAATTTTTTTCAATAAATGTTTAAATTGCGATAATATGAACAGCAATATAAATAATAATAATAATTTGTTAAATTCCGAATTTTCGAATCGAATTTATTGAGGTACTTTTTTTGTCAACTAGATAATTTTATAACGATTTTTGTTATTATTACTTTTATTATTTTCATAATTTCAGTTATTATTATTTTCATAACAATTTTTATTATTATTTTTATTTTTATAACTATTTTCGTTATTATTTTTATTATATTTATTATTTTTGTTCAATTTCGTTTGTTTGTTCGAAATTTCAAAATTCTTGAACCAAACTGCAAAAAGCAAAAATTTTCTTAATTTTGATTTTTTTGTGTGTTAATTTTCAAATTTTTGAATTAATTTGATACATTTTTGCTCTTAATTTCTGAATTTGTAAATCAATCTAATAATTTCGGTACTTTTTTGAATCAATTTGATATATGTACTTTTGAAATTAATTTTCAAATTTTCCTGTCAATTTTATTCATTTGGTATTTTTTTGATACTCTTTGATTTTAATTTTATATTTTTAATTCAATTTTGAATAAAAATAATATCAATAATAAATTAATAATACATGAAAAGAAAAAGAAATATTAAATTTTTTAAAAGTACTTTACAATTTAGAGAGAAATTGACTCAGAGCGAAATTTTTTTAATAAAAAAAAATACGAAACTTTAAAAGAAATTATATATGAAATTTAGTAAAATTATATTTAAATTAGATTTATTAATCTAATATTCTTGATATATTTTATAAAATTATATTAAATTTCACACAAGTTTCTTTATATAAAGTTTAATATTTTTTTATATAAAAAATTTTGCTGTATGATATTTTCTCCTCAAATTGTAAAATATTTTTATAAAATTTAATATTTATTTCCTTTCCCCGTGGTAATGTAATAATGATAATTTTAATTATACTGAACTATAAAATTTACAACGTTAAACTTGACAATTTTCAAAATCGTTACTTGGAAAATCGTCAGATTTAACGTTGTAAACTTTAGTTCAATTTAATTATACATTTTTAATATGTAATTTAATTATATAGTTATATCATATAATTATATATTTTAATAATATATAATTTAATTTTAATATATATTAATTGATAAAATAAATTATAATAATAAAATATAAAAATTTAATTTACTTTATATTTTTGAATTGACAATTGTTTCGTTGAAAAATTTTGAAAAAACTCAAAAATAATTTACTTTAATTTATTATTATAAACATTATACATAATTGAGGATAAATTTTGTAAAAAATATTGAACTGTAAATGAAAATAGGAATTTTTGATTGATTTTTTATTTTGTGGGGTCATTACAAAAATATGTAGAGCTTTCAGGGGGAAAGGGGGGTTAACTATCAGCAAAAAAACTGGCTGAGGGGTGTTAAAATTTCAAAAAAAGTTTAAAGTATTTTTTCAACGACCCCTGTACTCTTTTTGCAATTATTGTATAATAATGATTATAACCATTCTAATTAAACACTTTAAAGAGAATTTATTAACTAAATTCGCATTTTTCGGTTTAAAAGTCAATCTCTGACGGTTTTTTTTAATTTTTTTTTTTTTTTTTTTTTGAAATAGTAAAATGGAAATGTTTATATTGTTGAAATATTCGCGTGTTCGAATGGTTGAGTGAGCTTTTCGAACATGACCGATCGCTATATGTGTATGAGATCAAAGACAGAGATCCCGACTAATGCGAGTCTCCTGTCTTGCCCGATAGTCTCGAGCTGGGCTCATAGGTCCTGGTGGAGGTGGAGGAGAAATGAGCAACAACATCAGCGAGCGCGCCCTCCAGGAATGCTGGTCCACCCTGCAACGAGTGAGTTGAACACTCAGCCCGTTATTTAAAAAAAAAAATTACGAGAAAAATTATTTACATGTTCCCACCCTGACCTTATTTTTTTTTTTTTATTTTTTTTTTTTTTGTAACCATTCGCTTTTTTATAATTTTCTCGATTTGCATCCTTTTTTATTATTATCGTTGTTGCTCTTCTTTTTCCATTATGATAATTTTTCTCCTGCACGTCACCCAGTTCATCATTATTTAATTTTTAGATAAGGAAAAATCTTTATTATTGAGTTCTCGTCGAAATATTTTTTTTTTCTCAAAGATAATTTATTCACTGTTAACTCGAAATTAGCAAATTGTAACAAAACTACTTAAAATTTTTTAATTTGAAAATTAAATTTATTAATTTGCTAATTTAATTTATTAATTTGCTACTAAAAATGGGAATCAAGTAAAAACACTTGATTCCCATTTTTAGTGAAAATTAGAATTTTTGGTATCAATTTGATACTTTTGAGACAACTGTGATTTGGAAATTTATGAAATAGAAATTTAGAAACTGCTCTCTAAATTTTAATTGGTAAAAATTTTTACTAATTTGAATTAATCACTTTTTGCTTTATTTAAATTAGTAAATTTTGGTAAAAATTACTATATTTATTAGTAAAATTTACTCGCAGTTTTTTCTAAGGATATCAAATTGACACGAAAACTGAATCAAAAGTGTTTCGAAGAAACATTTTGATTCGTTTTTTGTTTCAATTTGATATCTTTAGAAAAACCTAATTCAAAAGAAAAAAGGTAATTACTAATTCAAATTAGTAAATATTTTTGTTAATTCAAATTTAGAAAGTGTAAATTAAAAATTATAATTATAAATTGTAAAATATAATTACAAATTAAAAATTATAATTACAAATTATAATCTAAATTCAAATTTAGAAAGTGTTAATTAAAAATTATAATTATTAATTGTAAAATATAATTATAAATTCAAAATAAAAATTATAATTATAAATTACAATTGCAAATTATAATTGCAAATTATGAATATAAATTAAAAATTATAAATTCTGAATGATAAATTATGATAGACGATTCATAAATTAAAAATTCTAAATTATAAGTCACAAATTTATAAAAAAAATTTGGAAAAATAATCTTTGAGGAATGTTGAATTAAAATTTATTTTTATAATGAACAAATTATTTTTTTTCCATTCGAGATAAAAATGTCGCACGTCAAATTTTATTTCTTTGATTTCATTTAGGTTTTATTATGATTGCAAATTCCAATTGCACAAATATATATTTTACATTTTCAATCCTTATATTTATGCATCCCGGCATGTGTATGCTTTATTCGTCGTGTTTCGTGTTGAATTTTTTTTCTTCATTTTTTTTTGTATAAATTACAAAATCAAAGAAAATGAGCAAACGTCTCAATTTTTCTTTGACATTTCAAATTCGATCGACTTGTATTTATAAAACATTCGCTAAAAGACAAGATCAAAGCGTACTATTGTATATATTTATAAATTTTGTAGAATAAGATGAAAATTTTTCAAATACAATATTATTTTGTTATAACTGAAAAATTGAAAAGGTATTTTTTTCAATTTCGTTATTTTTTTAAATTTTAGTTAGTGAAAAGTCGTCCATACTAATTTTAAGTTAGGAATAAATTCGTAATGATTTAATTAGGAAATTTAATTAGAATTAAAAAGTACTAAAAAAATAGTAAAATATTACTAAGAATGAGTAAAAATTGTCACTAAATTGAATTAATTAAAATTTCTACTTATTTTTATTTGTTTTCCCCTAAAATTTGATTTAAATTTATAAACTATTAAAAAAAATAGTAAAATTTATTGGAAATTAGTAGCAACTTTTACTGATTCTAAGTAGCTAAAATTTCTACTAATTTTTACAAATTCTCCCCTAAGATATACTGAAAAAAAGAAAAGTACTAGACAAAATAGCAGAATTTAGTAATTTTTACTAATTTCTTAACTGATAGTTAAAAGAAAATTTTTACTCATTTTAATAAATTAAAATTTCAACTTATTTTTAGAAATTTTTATTAATTTAAATTAATTCAATAATTATTTAATTTCTGCTATTGTTTAGCAATTTTTCCCTAAAATTTGAGTAAAAATTAAAAACTAGGGTAACTGCACCAATTGCCGAGGGTGCTCCAATTGTCGAGGATAATAATTTTCTTTTTTAGATAAATAGTATAATATATAATATTTAAGAACAAAAAAAATTTCTAAATAATCTTTGTATTTTCAACTGTATATTTATATATACAAATTTCGTAGCAATTCTACTGAAATAATTATTTAATTAATATTATAATTCACTGCTGTGAAATTTACACGAATCTCCATTTTCTTAATACTTCAGGTTGATTAAAACAGATTTTTAGAAATGTAAATTAAACGTATTTATAATGACTTTTTGTGTACAAAATTATTATTATAATTTTGTACACGAACTAAATTAATTTTGTATGCATGTTTTTTTGTTAAAAAAAAATATTTAATATTTTTTAAAAGCAAATCATCGGTATTTGGTTCCTTTTTTTTGACAGTTCCATTTTTCGAGGTAATGACTCGAAAATTGGTGTAGTCACTTTTTTCGCTGATGCACCATTTATCGATGGTTAAGTGTTTATTTACTAAACGTCAAACATAAATGCCAAACATTTATAGGTACAGAGAAAAAGATAAAAAATGCTCCAAAAATTTACAACCAACAGAAAATAATCAACCAAAAAAACGAGGAAGACCGAAAAAAAATTAATAAAAAAATGCATTATTTAAAACTAAAAAATTTTGTACTATAGTTTAATTATAATTAACCATTATATTTACAGTTCGTAATAAAAGTTTATTTTATTCGTTTACAAATTTAATGTGACTTAAATTAATTTATTTTTTTAATTAATGTCTGATTAACAAAATTGATTAAATTTAATTAACTTATATTTATAAAAGTTTAAAAAACAGTTAAATAATTTTCTGTCCTGTATCATCTACTATAAAAATGTTTTATATCGATATTATAAATTATTCAATTATAGTTAAATAAATATATTTGTCTTCTGGTAATGTTCTATAATATTTTTATCGAAAAAATAAATATCTACTCGATTTTCTAATATCTGTACAGGTTAATTGTTAGGTTATATTGGGTTATATGTTTAAAAATGTCATACCCTCGACAATTGGAACAGACCCTCGAGAAATTAGCACAAGACCATCGACAAATGGTGCTTTTGCTCGATTGACTTTTAAATATATTTTTTGCTTAACAATTTAGTTTATATTAAAAAAATAAATATGAATATTAAACATTATTAGATCCTTCGTCCAAATATACAAAAATCAAATTTTTAAGTGCATTTACTTCCGAGAAAAAAAATGTCAAAGTCACATGTTGCCTAAAACCCTCGACAATTGGTACAGTTACCCTATGAAACGAAACAAGTAAAATTCTGTTAAGAACTAATAGAAATTTTTAAAATAATGATAATAGTGGAAGTTGTGGTGATAGTCGACTTTTCACTAATTTAAAATTTAGAGAATTAACTGCAAAAGTTAGTTAACAATTGAATTATTTAATTATCTTAATATTTAATATTAATACAAAATTATTATTATTATTATTCGTAAAAAAAAAAAAAATTTTTCTTATTTATTCCCCAAAAAAACTAAAATAAATCAGCCAATTGAGAACGATCCTCGATAACTTTAGCGGAATTAAAATATGTATAAAAATCAGATTTTACAAAAATCTGGAAATTTTTAATTTAGAGAATTAACTGCAAAAGTTAATTAACAATTGAATTATTTAATTATCTTAATATTTAATATTAATTTTTCAAATTTTTTTTTGATTTTTGGAAAATGATGGAAAAAGTTAAAAAAGAAAAAAGATTATCTTTTTTAATAAAATAATCGTTTTTCTTTTTTAACTTTTTACATCATTTTCCAAAAATCGAAAAAAAATTTCTTTATAAATATTATAATGGAAGGAAAAACTTTTAAATTTAATATTAATATTTAATATTAATACCAAATTATTATTATTATTATTATTCGTTAAAATAGAAAAATTTTTCCTATATTTATTCCCCAAAAAACTAAATTAAATCAGCCAATTAAGAACGATCCTCGATAAATTTAGCGGAATTAAAATATGAAAATCAGATTTTACAAAAATCTGAAAAGAGAAAATAAAACGAAAAAAAAAATTCTTTAATTTACAAAAGCCCAGAAGAAGAGTTTTCGAAAAGAAAGTGTCGCTAACGAGCGCTCAATTGTGTTATATTGCGGTTGAAGTGATGAGGACCTATAAAAAGGTATGGGGCAAAGTAAGGGGGAAAAAGGGGGACAGGGGGTGGGTGAAGCAAAAAGAAACCTTTATAAAAGAGAAGATGTAGAAGAAGGCAAAGTAGAAAACTTTTAAATTCTCTCAGCAACGAAGAAACAATTTGTTTCGTTAAGTAGCCACATTCCTTCTTTTCTTTCTTCTTTTTTTTTGTGTGGTATTTTTTTTTTTTTTTTGCTTGTCCCGTTGAAAGAGAAAAGTAGTGTAGGGAATGGGCGAATAGGGAGTTTGGGGGGCACGACACGGGGACGTAAAGTTAAGTCCGATTTTCTTTCTTGCGCGCACTTGTGTTCTTTCTCTTCTTTCAAAAGTGCACGCTTCATTCTTAAAAGCCACAAGAGCACAGAGAGGGAGGGAGAGAGGGAGAGGAAAGAGGCAAAACTTTTCGGAAAATCGCAAAAACCCAAGGCGCAACGGTGATGGCAAAGTTTTCACGTTTCCTCGAGATTTAATTAAAACATTCGCTTCCATTCTTTCTGTCAGGGAATTTTTTTGTCTCCGTTGTTTTTTTTCTCTCTTTTTGTCTTTAATTTCTACAATACGATACAAGGTAAAATGTTTTCTTTTTTTCGAAACCAATTCTTTAATTTTTACTTTGCGGGAATATTTTTCTAAGGATATCAAATTGAAACA